AAATGTTAGTCTTTTTTCCCCTTAGAATTCGCCTGATAACTCGCAATTGCGAGTTTATTTCTCACAATTCTGAGAAAAGATGTCAGAATTACGAGATATAAACACAATTGTGAGAAAAAAAAAGTCAGAATTGTGAGATAAAAAGTCTCAATTCTGTCTTTATTTCTCAGAATTGCGACTTTATATCTCGCAATTACGACTTCATTTCTCAGAATTACGATTTTATATCTCGCAATTACGACTTAATTTCTCAGAATTACAACTTTATATCTTGCAATTGTGAGATAAAAAGTCACAAATATTATTATTATTATTTTTATTCAGTGGCGGAAACAAGCTTCCATATTTAGCAGACTTTTTAAATTCACAAACACCTTTATTGCACACTACATGAAAGATAATATCTGAAAAATCATAATAGATGCAATTTAAAAAAATAAATTTGTTTTAAATTAATTCAGGACATCCTGGCTAATGTTAACAATAAATTTAAATGTTTTTTTTTAATTAATAATCTGTATTAGTATATCTGAAACAGATGTTATGTTCATGAATCTGGCAACATTTGATTATGTTGGTTGTTGCATATGGGGGAGTTCAGAAATGGATTGTTGCTAAAATATTAATGCACTATCGAGTTGGAAAATACCATTCCACCTCAATAAACCTGACCGATGCTGTTAAAGGAGTAACGTTAGTTAACTTAATGATTCGAAAAAAGATTTTTTTCATTTTGATGAACGAGTTAAATCCCTTTGAAGCTGCACTGAAACTCTCAATTTGAACCGTTTGGCTCCCAGTAAAGTCCATTATATGGAGAAAATACTGGAATGTTTTCATCAAAAACCTTAATTTCTTTTCGACTGAAGAAAGAAAGACATGGACATCTTGGATGACATGAGGGTGAGTAAATTATCAGCAAAAGGTTTTTTTTAAAAAGTGAAGTACTCCTTTAACAAACTATCAGAAAAGACACACATACGTATGAGCTGGTTATGTGACGCAAACATCAAAATGTGTTTACAGATCATGCATATGGTAAAAGTATGTTGAGATCATAACATAGTATTGTGCAAGGAAAAACACAGCAATGTGTCTTGATTAATGGACAATCTGTCCATGTAATCATAATATAAATTACAGCTGTTGGTGTTTTACTGCCATAGTGTAAATTTCACCTGCATATACATATTTGAAACCTCTAAAAGGTTCTAAACAGAACCCTTTTTAAGAGTTCAACAATAAGAACCCTTTAGGGTTCTTTGTAGCCAGGAAAAAGGTTCTATATGGAACCTTTTGGGTTAATCATTATCATTTGTTTTGTCCTTTCCGGATTAAATATTTCATATTATCGACAAACATCAAGACCCTAAACTGTATTTATGAATGCATTCAAGATAAGGGGGTTAGAAAATGTATATATTTATATCATTTTATGTAGTTAATCAGTATCACACGAAGAGTGCCATTTCAGTTTTTCTCCTCCAAAATCAGCATCATTAAAATGTGATATTACCAGTTTAATAAACAATAATTTAATTACAACTACAAAATGTTGTAAAATAATGTAATATATATATATATATATATATATATATGAATGAATAATAGCCTATAAAGAACCTTTGTGCCATAAGGGTTCTTTCTTGTCATTATAGAACCTTTTTTAGCATAGGAAAGAACGCCATGCTTCATATATAGAACCCCAATGAACCCTTGAGTTTTGAAATATGTTTTTCCAATGAGCCAATGTTGGGACTTTCAATTATTGTCACTTTGTGTGTGTGTGTGTGAGTGTGTCCAAATTAGTCACAGTCTTGAGCTCTGCAATCTCCACCACATGACATCAATTAGGTGAAGATGAAATGCTTCCAGGCCAAAGGAAGCAAAATCCAGAAGAAACACGACTAACAATCCCACATGGATCCACAGAAAGTGACTGGGAGCAACAGAATAGTGGAGACAAATGTTTCTAATCAGAATCTAATCCACTGAGATGAATGCATATTTATATAAATAGTTATATAAAGAGCTCTGAATCATTTTTTTTCAGCTCCCCCACAGCGGTCAAACTTTCACTATGCGTTTGCAATCAGATTCGAATCGAACTCGTAGTCATAATTCAGCCGTCAAATGACTCAAAAAATTACCCTGGTGCCCGTGCCAGTCACTGAGAAAGACATAACCTCCACAGTCCATTCACTCGACTAAAAAGAGGCTTTGACAAGCATGGGTGGAGGTTTCCAAGACTGATAAATGAGTTGCGTATTTCTCAGAACTCGAAGCCAACGCCATTCCTTCGATGCCACAAACACGGCACGCGTGTTTATGCCCGTTTATCGGCGAACAGCTTGAGCTGGACGCTGGAGAATGTGTGTAAATCATCTCCACCTTTTATGTAAGAAGCGTGTTTACCAGACGAAAACACAAATGTATACCACTCATCAGAGGAAGCTTTGCTGTGAGATAAGTTTCTCTTGATGGAGATTACAGGCAGTGCTTGTATAAATAGGTCACAATGTTACTGGACTGTTGGAGCTGATTTTCTCTTGGACTCGAGGCAAGAGTCGAATAGGAAACAGGTCCCGGGTGGAAACTCAAGTCAAGAGGAGTGTGCAAGCCTTACAGAAACGTACCCTGATACGGTGACTCAGAGTAAGTGCGCTCAGGAAACCCAAGTTCAGGTCTTGCTGATGACCCAATACCATCTTGCTTTTATATATAACATGTCAATGAATAATTATAGCATGGTGTTTACATCGCACTCCAGACTACTTAAAAATACCATTGCCGAGATTATTTGTAAATGCTGGGTTATTGGGTAACCCAATTTTGGGTCAAATATGGACAAACTCAGCCATTGGGTTACATTTTTAAATTTCATTTTTAACCCAATTTTGGGTCAAATATGGACAAACTCAAACATTAGGTTAAAAATGTAACCCCATGGCTGGGTTTGTCCATATTTGACCCAAAATTGGGTTAAAACAAGCTAGTATTTTTTTAGAGTGTGTTGTTAATGAATTTAGATTTGATTGATCACTCCTTGCAAAAAATCTTTGCACATTTGCATGGATATTTGGACACTAGCGTGAAAATGCTTTGGTAATATCACAGTATTTATTTTACTTTTAAATACCATGGTACACTCTAAAACTGCTGGGTTGTTTTAACCCAACTTTGGGTCAAATATGGACAAACCCAAACATTGGGTTAAAAATGTCATAAAAATGTAACCCAATGGCTGGGTTTGTCCATATTTGACCCAAAGTTGGGTTAAAACAACCCAGCAATTTTTTGAATGTATATCAATCTGTATATCAATCTATGGTACACTGTAAAAAATGCTGGATTGTTTTAACCCAATTTTGGGTCAAATATGGACAAGCCCAGCCATTGGGTTAAAATGTAATTTAAAAATGTAACCCAATGGCTGGGTTTGTCCATATTTAACCCAAAATTGGGTTAAAACAACCCAGCATTTTTAGAGTAAATCAGAAAATAACATTGAACATTGAAAAATGTCAAAAACACTGTGTATTTTCTTATGCAATGAACCTTTATGAATTTGAATTAAAATAAAATAATATTAGTCATTTTTGAATCTTGAATAATTTTATGAACAATTAAAATTCGATTTTGAAGCCCAGATTTTCAATGAGATCTCAGACTTTTTGGACCACACTGTAACACACACATCTGAGAAAAGATCAAAACACACAGACAGCAGCAGTGCTCTCAGTGCACACGTCTCCATCTCTCAGTGCGAGTGAGGGATGAGCTCCTGAAGAGCAGCAGACACAACAGATGCCTCGACACAAACACACACTGCTCGTAAATACTTTCAGATGGATGTCTTACACACATGCAGGTCTGTGCATGTACATTTGGGTTGTGTGTGTGTATGTGATCCTGGTATTTCCTACATTATGGGGACCAAATGTTCCAACAGCAATACTAGTAAACTTTAAACTCTTTTTTTGGTCCTCATGAGGATGAAGCTTATTGTTTTATTAATTTATAATATATGTAATTATATACCATATACGTACTGTCCATCATACTGTAATTATAACATTTCAAAAATTGCTGTTTTTTTAACCCAATTTTGGGTAAAATAAGGACAAACCCAGTCATTGGGTTACATTTTTTAAATTACATTTTTAACCCAATGGCTGTTTTAATTGGGTTAAAACAACCCAGCATTTTTTTTTTAGATATAATTAAAATAATTCATAAATGAATAATAGAAATAATAATGTATTAATAATACAATATTTTTTATATATTCTGAAATATAATAATATATATTTTTAATATATAAATAATTGTATGTACACTCTAAAAAATGCTGGGTCGTTTCAACCCAAATTTGGGTCAAATATGGACAAACCCAAATGCTGGGTTAAAAATGCAATTAAAAAAATTTACAGTTGAAAGTGAAAGTTTAAGTTGCATTACATTTTTAACCCAACATTTGGGTTTGTCCACATTTGACCCAAATTTGGGTTAAAACAACCCAGCATTGTCTAGAATGTAAATAAAATAATTGTTTTATTTACATTATTATAAATTTAGCATGCAATCACTCTAAAAAATGCTGGGTTGTTTTAACCCAATTTTGGGTAAAATACGGACTAACCCAAACGATGCGTTAAAAATGTAATTAAAAAAAACTTAACCCAATGGCTGGATTTGTCCATATTTTACCCAAAAATTGGGTTAAACAACCCAGCATTTTTTAGTGTGGGGATCAAATCCCAACAACGTTTTTAAAATAAATAATTCAAGTTTAAATAAATAATTTGTTTGTAAAGTCTCTATTTTATTTAAATGTTATTTCATATATTTGATCATGTATTTTCAGTAGATGAGGATTTGAAACCTTTCACACTTTACTGAAATTACACTGCTAGTGTTTTTAGTGTGTCTTTGGTCCATATCTTCCAGGATGCCACTAGTGTGTGTGTGTGTGTGTGTGTGTGTGTGTGTGTACTCACACACTCTGAATCCGGACCCCGGCGGCGTCTGTCCTCCCTGCTCGCTGTTGTAGATGGTGGTGATGTTCCCGCGCTCGCAGTAGTTGGTGCAGCGTCCCTGTGCGCAGCGCAGCCGGCAGACGGTGGGGGTGAAGAGCACTTTAATCCGCTCGGGACCCCCGTGGGCGAGCGAGGACGAGGAGTGCTGAGCGACGGCTAGAGAGAGACACACAGCAAAGCCCAAGAGGAGCAGAAGAGTCAGTCTGAGAGGACGCATGGCGAATCCTGTTCACATCACGCACACATGACACAGGAGGAGGCTTTTTCTTGGATTGTCCCAGAAAATATCCCAACTAGTGCACTAAAACGATATGTTTGCTCTGATATCGGGTCTGCCAAACACAAACACAGTGAGTGTGTGTGTGTGTGTGTGTTTGTTAAGGAGTCGAGGGCTGCCCTGATGTTTGAAGGTGCTGTTGCAAGCAAACTCTCGGGTCCATCTAGCTCTCGCTCTGCTCTACTCTGCGCTCACACACACACACACACTGACAGGCTTCCCAATGCGCAGAACTTTCTGTCATATGAGCAGGAGAGACCGGAGTGGGCGGCGAAAGAGAGAAAACTATGGGGGAGAGGGAGAGAGACTTTGAGTCTCTGGCTTTGCACACGGGGGTGAGGTCAGCGCCGTTTAATGTGTGTGTGTGTGTGTACCGGGGGCTTGTAGATGAAGGAAGGGGTGTATTTTTCTTTTACTCTGCATTTTCAGCACTGTCATTTGGCAAGCTTTAACGGTTCCCCTGCAGTGTGCTCTGGACATTGAGGAATAGCTCAGCGAGAATTAAGCATTCCGTCACCATCAAGTGGAGTCATTTTGAGGAATGCTCACGCTGCTCTTTTACACAAACTCAATGCCAATTTTAGCATCATTCAGATACTATTATAGGTTTTATTCATATTTTGAATTAGGTTATTTTGTTGCATATATTCTATTTTTTCTTTAGAAGTTTTCATTTTTTACAGTATATATTTTAGATTCATTTTTATTCCAGTTTACTCGACCCGCTACGGTCTCGGTCTCGACTCGGACTCGACCCTCTACGGTCTCGATCTCAACTCGGACTCGACTCTCTTTGGTCTCAGTCTCGACTCGGACTCGACCCGCTACGGTCTCGGTCTCGACTCGGACTCGACTCTCTTTGGTCTCGATCTCGACTCGGACTCGACTCTCTTGGTCTCAGTCTCGACTTGGACTCGACCCTCTACGGTCTCGATCTCGACTCGGACTCGACTCTCTTGGTCTCAGTCTCGACTCGGACTCGACTCTCTTAGGTCTCGGTCTCGACTCGGACTCGACTCTCTTTGGTCTCAGTCTCGACTCGGACTCGACCCGCTACGGTCTCGGTCTCGACTCGGACTCGACTCTCTTTGGTCTCGATCTCGACTCGGACTCGACTCTCTTGGTCTCAGTCTCGACTTGGACTCGACCCTCTACGGTCTCGATCTCGACTCGGACTCGACTCTCTTGGTCTCAGTCTCGACTCGGACTCGACTCTCTTAGGTCTCGGTCTCGACTTGGACTCGACCCTCTACGGTCTCGATCTCGACTCGGACTCGACTCTCTTTGGTCTCGGTCTCGACTCGGACTCGACTCTCTTTGTTCTCGGTCTCGAGCCGGACTCGACTCTCTTTGGTCTCGGTCTCGACTCGGACTCAACTCTCTTTGGTCTCGACTCGGACTCGACTCTCTTTGGTCTCGGTCTCGACTCGGACTCGACTCAGACTCGACTCTCTTTGTTCTCGGTCTCGAGCCGGACTCGACTCTCTTTGGTCTCGGTCTCGACTCGGACTCGACTCTCTTTGGTCTCGGTCTCGACTAGGACTCAACTCTCTTTGGTCTCGGTCTCGACTCGGACTCGACTCTCTTTGGTCTCGACTCGGACTCCACTCTCTTTGGTCTCGGTCTCGACTCGGACTCGACTCAGACTCGACTCTCTTTGTTCTCGGTCTCGAGCCGGACTCGACTCTCTTTGGTCTCGGTCTCGACTCGGACTCGACTCTCTTTGGTCTCGGTCTCGACTAGGACTCAACTCTCTTTGGTCTCGGTCTCGACTCGGACTCGACTCTCTTTGGTCTCGGTCTCGAGCCGGACTCGACCCTCTGTGGTCTCGATCTCGACTCGGACTTGATTCTCTTTGTTCTCGGTCTCAACTCGGACTCGACTCTCTTTGGTCTCGGTCTCGACTCGGACTCGATCCTCTATGGTCTTGGTCTCGAGCCGGACCCGACCCTCTATGGTCTCGGTCTCGACTCGGACTCAACTCTCTTTGGTCTCGACTTGGACTCGACTCTCTTTGGTCTCGGTCTCGAGCCGGACTCGACCCTTTGGTCTCGGTCTCGACTCGGACTCGACTCTCTTTGGTCTCGGTCTCGACTAGGACTCAACTCTCTATGGTCTCGGTCTCGACTCTCTTTGGTCTCTGTCTCGAGCCGGACTCGACCCTCTGTGGTCTCGGTCTCGACTCGGACTCGACTCTCTTTGTTCTCGGTCTTGAGCCGGACTCGACCCTCTGTGGTCTCGATCTCGACTCGGACTTGATTCTCTTTGTTCTCGGTCTCAACTCGGACTCTCTTTGGTCTCAGTCTCGACTTGGACTCGACTCTCTTTGGTCTCGGTCTCGACTCGGACTCGACTCTCTTTGGTCTCGGTCTCGACTCGGACTCGACCCTCTGTGGTCTCGATCTCGACTCGGACTTGATTCTCTTTGTTCTCGGTCTCAACTCGGACTCGACTCTCTTTGGTCTCAGTCTCGACTTGGACTCGACTCTCTTTGGTCTCGGTCTCGACTCGGACTCGACTCTCTTTGGTCTCGGTCTCGACTCGGACTCGACTCAGACTCGACTCTCTTTGATCTCGGTCTCGAGCCGGACTCGACTCTCTTTGGTCTCGGTCTCGACTCGGACTCGACTCTCTTTGGTCTCGGTCTCGACTAGGACTCAACTCTCTATGGTCTCGGTCTCGACTCTCTTTGGTCTCTGTCTCGAGCCGGACTCGACCCTCTGTGGTCTCGGTCTCGACTCGGACTCGACTCTCTTTGTTCTCGGTCTCGACTCGGACTCGACTCTCTTTGTTCTCGGTCTCGAGCCGGACTCGACCCTCTATGGTCTCGGCCTCAACTCTAAATCGAGTGAGCTAGTCTCGACTACAACACTGTTAAATATACAGATTGGAGTGAATGTCATTTTGCTTATTTTGCTCAAGATCAGGATTTCTGGAGTCCACATGTCATGCAAACTAAGACTCTGCTTCTAACCACAGGTCGAGATCTGTCGCTCACATACACAACTCTGCGACGCTGTTTGTTGGAACGATGTTTTCGGGAAACACCGACTTGTTGAACTGCTGGTAACGACGGAACTTGGCTAACGATGTGTTTGGGAAACGCACCCCTGTACGGATGACCTGTGGATCACTTTACTCAGACTGAACGCTTGCCGTGGCCCTACAATGACATTTAATACAAACATTTATAGAAGTAAACAACAGCTACTGTCATTTTCCCTTAAATACGACTCCATCAATCATTTGGGAGGAGCCGTTCAACTGTGTCATGATGTCAGTGTTTTACATATGAATGAGGCAGTAAAACATGCTTTACTATAGCAACCAGTGTTGTTCCTCATGTTGTTTGGAAAATGAAGTTGAATTTGTAACTTTATTGTTGTAAATGATGTCATGTGGTACTGGATCAGAAACAGACACACACAATATAATGAACCTGGGGTTATATTGAACCCCAATATAGCTCTGTCATCAATTCTCTACTAAAATGTGTCCTGATGCATTTCCATGAAACCAATGAGTTTTTGTACAAAAACAGCAGTGTTGGGTAAGTTACTCTAAAAACATGTACTGGCACCTTCTGTAAAATAAATAGGTCTTAAAATGATTAAAGAAATATCTAGTCAAAGAAGGTGCTAACCCTTCATCAAATGTTAAACGTCAACTTCAGGATGCCAAACTTACACTCTAGAAAATGCTGGGTTGGTTTAACGCAATTTTGGGTCAAATATGGACAAACCCATGTGGTTAAAAATGTAATTTTAAAATGTAACCCAAAGGCTGGGTTTGTCCATATTTGACCCAAATTTGGGTTAAAACAACCCAGCATTTTTTAGAGTCTACTATTATGAGCTATTTATTTTCTATTAATTTGAATTTTAAAAACTCTGTTGCTAAAATATAAGATATCCAATTATAGTTTAAAACTTTTTTGTGCTGTTTTTCTAAAACTTAACGATATAAATAAACGTCTTTGCATTTATTTATACACTCTAAAAAATGCTGGGTTGTTTTAACCCAATTTTGGGTAAAATATGGACATACCCAGCCATTGGGTTAAAAAATGTAATTTAAAAATGTAACCCAAGGGCTGGGTTTGTCCATATTTTACCCAAAATTGGGTTAAAACAACCCAGCATTTTTAGAGTGTATGTATTAAATTGCAGTTTTTGGTTTTCTATATGCACAACAGCAAGTCATTTTATCTGCGTCTTTTTATCACGAATAATGATCAGTTCTATCATTTAACATCATTTTTTCAACTCATTCAATTCAAATTTTATTTTTTTATTTTTCAATTCATTCAAATAATCAATATTTCAATAACATGTGCAGCTTAACTCTGATATTGTCATTTGGTTTGTGCCACAATCATGGCCTCTGAATCTAAAATAGAAACTCCTGAGGTCATATTAGTGCACAGACACAAGGAAAAATACAGCATTAATTAATTATAAGCTTAGCAAAATCCACTATCAACAGCCTCTCACACAAGCATTCATATTTGGCAAAACAAACTCGTGATGAAGAGCTTAAGGGTCAAACTATTGTGTAACGCTCCTGACGCCCACAACTCTCATCTTATTGACTCGTGACACTAAATATTTATAAAGTGTGCCATTTCATTCATCGTCAGAAAAATGAGTCGTTAAAGAGAAGTAGTTTCTGGAATGCCGAGTTTCTGTCACTCCCTCTCTACATTACAAACTCTCTCAGCGTGGAAACTTGGACTCGGCCTTTACAGCCGGCGTTGAGTCTTGGATTTCGAGAGATCCGGCATTTGGCAGCGACTCGTGTGTTTTCCATGTGAGGCGACATCCCTCATTCCTCAGTCCAGTTTTTCCCACTGCGACAGGCAATAAGCGTTGACGATATGTGTCCGGAGAAGGTGTATTACTTGTGTTTCGAGTTAACGTGCTGTCGGAAGGAGAGCACAGGGAAGCCCTGAGGTTACGGCAGTCCAGGGGTGTGTTTACGCTGGATCTGGATTTAAAGGCCCGGACTGGTGTTAGGAAGAGCCTCTTGGGAATGTTTGTGGGCTACAGAACACACTTCATTACATAAAACCACTCTCAAACATGACAAGCTCAGGAAACCCAAAATAACCACAGCTCAGATATTCTTCTGCTGTAACTTCTGCATAACAGTGCTCATTTACTGTCTTTTCATTTTAATTTTAGTGATTTTGTTTCATAAATTTAATAAATGTGTTTAAAACTTATAATATATGAACATATATACATGTCTATTTTTTATTATTTTACTTCATGTATTTTTTTTACATATTTGATATTATTTTAGCTAATGTTTATTTTATTTCAAGTTATTTTTATTTTATCATTGATATATTCTAGTACTATTATAGTTTTTGTGAATGTTTTGAATTATTTTCTGCTGTCATTTTAGCTTTAGTCAAACTTGTAGTCATTTTGTTGTTTTTGTTATATTTATTTTTTATGAATATTTTATAAATGTGCGTAAATCTTGTGTTGCCAACTGTTTGAAATAAAATGCATATTTTTATTCATATTTTACTTTTCAGTTGATTCAGTTTTTTTTTTAATTTCAAGTAATTAAAACGTTTTTTTATTGATATAGACTACATTTTATTTTGATATTTTCTGTTTTCATTTTAATTCTACATTTTAGTAACTTTGTTGTATTTTTTTTTGTCATTTTTATTTATTTTTTTATTTTTTTATTAAATGAATATACACAGTTTTTAAGAATTAAGTTAAGTTATTTTAGTACATCAACTTAAAAAAATAAAAATAAAAATAGAAAAGTTCCCTTGGTAACAAACTGAAATAAAATAAGTTTTAGATTTTAAATTTTTATTTATATTTTATATTATTTTTGTTAATGTTCATTTTTTTAAGTTATTTTTATCATTGATATATTCTAGTACTATTATGGTTTTTGTGAATGTTTTGAATTATTTTCTGCTTTCATTTTAGCTTTAGTCAAACTTGCAGTCATTTTGTTGTTTTGTTATATTTATTTTCTCTAAATATTTTATAAATGTTTAATAATATATAGTTTATATAGTTTATATATATTTATTTATATAATATATATATATATATTATTTTATTACTTCAACATAATCTAAAAACAATTGAAATGTTGCCAACTGTCAGAAATAAAATATTTTTATTCATATTGTACTTTTCAGTTGATGTTTATTTTATTTCAAGTAATTAAAACGTTTTATCATTGATATAGACTATTATTATTTTTGAGAATTTTTTAAATTACATTTTATTTTGATATTTTCTGTTTTCATTTTTATTCTACATTTTAGTAACTTTGTTGTGTTTTTTTTGTCATTTTTATTTATTTATTATTATTTTTTATTAAATGCATATACACAGTTTTTAAGAATTAAGTTAAGTTATTTTAGTACATCAACTTAAACTAAAAAAAAAAAAAAAAAAATAGAAATGTTCCCTTGGTAACTAACTGAAATAAAAGAAGTTTTAGATTTTAAATTTTTATTTATATTTGATATTATTTTAGTTAATGTTTATTTTATTTAAAGTCATAAAAAATATAGTTTTAGTTCATGATAATAACCCTACCTAAATAACAACATTTGAAGTGAATTCCATGAATTGTTGGCCTGACTAAGGAATTGCAGTAACATGCCATTTAAAGTTTCATCTCCACAGAGCTTTACTTATCAGCTACAGCTTCATATTCAAGGGCTTAAAGACTATAAATCTAGAGATAAGCAACATTAGACGTCTGTGTGTCTGTGTGTGAGTCAGTGAGAAAGAGGTCAGCCTCCCCAAACTCCCCGTCCGCTGCCACCGAGGGCCGGCCGCGTGTTATGAGGTCATGGAGACACAGGGGTTCCCATTAGCAAAAAAGCACATCCATCTCCTGAGCAATTACTGAGCATCACCTCTGGGCCAAACTAAACAATGGCAGGAATAAGCTACAATGGCGTATCAAGGACTGCCTCCATGCAAACCCAAATCGACAGGCAGATAAACCTTATCACGGCACAAAAGTTTTAAAACCAGGAAACAGGCCGAATTATTAAAACAAGATATTCTGCTGCTTTGAAGCCAGCGATGCTTCTGGCAAATAAAAGGTTAACATGTTGGCACAGAAACCCGTATAAACCTTCATAGGTCCACAACAACATTCTCAAGCCCCGTGACTTTTCCAATTGTTCGTGATTTACTGGACAAACATGACGGATAAGGTATTTTGCTCTCAATTTAGTACCTGATAAAATACTTGTGAAAACACTTTACAATACGGTTCCATTTGTTAACATTAGCTCTAACAATGAACAGTTGTATTTTTGTTAATGGTACACTGTAAAAAATATTGTTGGTTTAACTTAAAAAAGTAAGTAACCTGGTTGCCTTCAAATTTTAAGTTGATTGAACTGGAAAATGTGAGTTAATACAATGATCATCAGAAACTCAAAATAATAAGTTATCTGAACTAAATAAATTATTTAAGTTGATTTGACAAAAGAAAAAATTTTGTGATAACAAGTCTTGAAAATATTTGTTTACAGTACAACTGTCCATTGTTACTTAATGATAATGAGACCTTATTGTATAGTGTAACCAAACATTTTAAATCTTGACATAAATATAAATATGTATATTCATAATAAAAATGCTCAAGGAGATTCCATTAATAAATATGATTTTTCCATGATTTATCTATGTATAAGACATAAGTGTTCACTTGTGCTTTATTTGAGGCTCAACAATGTCTCAGATGTTTTTCCTAAAATAAAAATCTGAATACAAATACAAAAATAAACACTTTAAATCAATTGTTGATATACTGTAAGACCGCAGAGCTGTGAAACATACATTACAGTCAGATTGTTTGGTCTTTGAGTTTGATATCATAATGAACTTTCTGACGTTTGATTTCAGACAAGTTTTTGAGATCTAATTTGCTCTTCATTTAATCTCATTGCTGTCTAAGCAACCATTTAAGTATTGACAGGATCTCATTCTTAAACACCAAGGATTCATTCCTATTCTCATTCCTATTTGCTAAGGATATGAGGTGTATGATTTCCTAAAACATTCAATTTTTCCCGATTTCTCACCGGCTTGGACTGACCTGCAGTGTAAAGGAGTGTGTATTGGCCACGCTGAGTGTGGAAGGTTTTGGTGCTGGACAGTTTGGTTTCTCCAGTAGAGGATGAAGACTCCAGTCTTCTTCGCTCTGATTCAATGTATTTCAGTATAACACTAGTGATCTTCTCTCCACCAGTTCCACTGGACAGTGCTCTCTTCAACAGGACCGACTCGGCCTCCTTTAAGCTGCAACACAAAGCAAAACAAAACCAGCGGATGCTGAGAATACCTTTAAAAATGCAAAAACAAATCCACAATTAAAAGTTCGTAACACTAAAAACACTCTCTGGACAAACTAATTTAAGTATGATTGAAATTTTTTACAGATTCTTCCTGGAAAAGGCTATTATAGCAAGTGTGGAGGGTGCTCTGGGAGTATGGGGTACGGGCCCCCCAGCAAACAAATTTAGGTTCTGGGAACGTTCTGGGAAGGTTAGTTTTTGGTTCCCAGAATGTTCCTAGAACTTTCCCTTAAAGTTAGGGGAACGTTCCCAGAACGTTTTCCTTACGTTATAAAAAATGGAACCTAAAAATAACCTACATGGAACGTTCCTATAACGTTCTTGTTTGAATATTTTTTTATTTATAAATGTCAACTATTCTATTTTATTTAGATTAAAGAAGTTCAACATTTTCGTTTTCACATTCACAAGAAGTCCTTCAAGACATTTTATACTACTCATTCAAGTGGGCGGACAATTCTGCTTTGAATTCACATTGTCCTTAATGGTCCATTAAAATGATTAAAAGAACCTCACAGCAAACAGAGAGACATAACCAAATTTCTTCTTGTAGTGGTTTCCTGTACAATTGCGTACCCAAGCAGATGCACATGTGGAAATCTTTTTCAAATCCACAGCATGGACTCTTGAGCATGAGCTCATTTTCCCAAACAGAGATAATTTACAGTGAAAACAAGCTGACGTGAGTTTAGGTCAACAGCAAACAGCCTATAAAACATGCAAATGGCCATTTCCATTTTACATGCAACCTTCCCAACTCTGCATGTGTTATACACACACTCACTCTGTATAAACACCGAGACGATTTGAGAGAGGACTCATTCACAGAAAACCATGATATAGAACAACTGGATAGGTCCTAATACAGAGCCCTGTGGTACTCCTAGATTTGCACTGAGCTCCAGCTAATTTAACCATAATGATAATTGGTCACATAGCCTATTTTTCAAATATAGATAATGTCTCTGAATCAAAAAATGAAATTATTTCATCCAAGTGCAATATGTTTTTTTTTTTTTTTTTTTTGGATTGTCAACAAAAGAACCATTTATGCATTGGAAAAATCCCCTAAACAGCTAAAAACTTGGGAATTTCCTAAAAGAAAAAGAAAAAGAAAAAACACTGTTACACTCTCAGAAAAAAAGGTACAAAAGTTGTCACTGGGGCTGTACCTTTTCAAAAGGTAAACTTTTGTCCATTTCATGAGCTAATAAGTACAGTACATTTTAGGTGTTAATATGTTCATTTTGAGTGCTAATATGTACATTTAAGTGTCAATATGTACATTTTAATTGTTAATATGTACATTTTAGTTGCTAATATGTCCATTTTAGGTGGTAATATGTCCATTTCAGTAGCTAATATGTCAATTTCATGAGCTAATATGTCCATTAGGTGATAATATGTATATTTTGGGTGCAAATATGTCAATTTCATGAGCTAATGTCCATTTTAGGTAGGTAATATGTACATTTAAGGTACTAATATGTACATTTTAAGTGTTAATATGTATATTTTAGGTGCTAATATGTCAATTTCATGAGCTAATATGACCTTTTTAGGTGGCAATATGTCCATTTTAGGTGCTAATATGTACCACTAAGGTACCAATATGCAGCCTTTGGGTACAAAAGTTTACCTTTTGAAAAGGTACAGCCCCAGTGACAGCTTTTGTACCTTTTTTTCTGAGAGTGTATGATTTACTACCTTTTAAAAAACATTTCAGACAAAGAGGTTCTTACTTTATATCTTACTTAAAAAAAGCCATGCACTCTTAGAAGAAAAGGTTCTATATAGAACCTTAAAAGGTTCTATCAGAGCTACATATTTGGAACCCCTAAAAGGTTCTATACACTCTTAAAAAAGGGTTCATATGGGTTCTATAGAACCCTAGGGTTCCATACTTGGCCAATAGAACAAAAAAAATGGTTCTATATAGAACCATTTTGGAGTTCCATTTATGAAGCGGGGGATGGAACCATTTCTGGTTCTAAATAGAACCATTTCTTCAAAGAGTGTGGAAATAAAAGCAGAATTTGCTTGCTTTAGCGATTCTGGGTTTAGTTGCCAGGCTCGGTACTTTCAAACACAGAGGACTTATCTAGTTCACACATTGAATGTGATATAAAAACTGTTGAATGATGGAGAAATTGCAGGCTGTCAGACTCAGAGTGTGTATGCAACAAACTGACCTATAATGGAGACTTTCAATAGTCTATTGTGAGAGAAGTGTTTCCACAGGGCAGGCCCTTCCTTCCCAAGCTTAGGTTCACCAGAGGACTTGCTCAACAGTCTGAGATCATGCCATCTGAGAGGGTCCGATCGACCTCAATAAAGGCAGTAAATCTCTCAAACTAGGACACAAAACCAAACTGTATGGTTTAACGTTGCCAAAATACAGATTTTACAACTATTGCAAGGTATGTTAATTGTACACTTAACATGCTTATTTTGAAATATTCCTTTACAGTGATTGTATTACAATAGTAATGCATTCCTATCTTAGATATTATTAGTACTAGAATCCCAGATAGAAGAGTTTCAGTTAAGAAAATAGATTATAGTCAAAAATAAATTACCTTAGATAATGTGCAAATGTTTTGCCCTTGAATTTGTGGCAATTTGTTTCCTGTGGTATTGAAAGTGGTATTATAGATACCGATAATATAAAGGGATTTTACCAAAGTTAAAGTCCCCCAGTAGTCAATAATTTTTGATAAAATCACCAAAATGACATGTCTTCATGCCTTAAAATAGCTCGAATGTAACTCGCCTCATTTAATATTCGCGGTTCTATGAATATGCAAATGAGCCCCGTCAGAAACACCAGTGATTTCAAACCGTGTTTGAAACAGAAAAATCCTAGTATTATATTTTTAAACCATTTAACCATATAAATTATCATGCAAACTGAGATTTCCCACACAATTCAAACACTTATTCTACACAAATTTCAAAGTTTATTTATTATTATTTTTGGGCTAATTCACCAACAAACTGTTGTTGTTTTGTGGATCTCCTTGTGAAAACCCTGGCATTACACAATAAGCTAAACACGTACGTTTCTGGTCTTCTATTCACCATAAAAACATCGAAATCAAGATGTTGCAAGATGATACCTTGGTGTGTCGTAAACTATTTCTTAACCATGACCGCATATACACTTTGGTGAGTAAATATATTCCATCTTGAATATCAAAGCTCTGATCAGAGTCGTCCAACAAGGGCAAGACTTCTTAACTTTATGGCATTCGCTGCACCATCAATCTTAGATCAGATGAGGTGCGGCTCTCCAATCAAAACACTTTTCTTCACAACCTTTCGCATCCTCTGTCATCTGAATACAATATAAAAGAAGCATCAGCCTATGGGTCAGCCAGTTAAAATAAATATGTCAGTTTGAGAGTGAGCAGTGCATCTTCTACTCCACATTATCCACCTTGGCAAAACATTAGGTGAGATTAGAGAGAGCGTTATTCTTCATTTCAGGGTGGAGAGCGAGCCGTGAGATGATAAGGGTTAGTTAAGGTCTCTGTATAAAGAAAGAACGAAGTTTATACCTAACATCAGTGTGTGTAACAGCTGTTTACCACATGGATGGATTTACAATCCTTTAGTAAACAAGACGAATCCCTCAAGAAGATTTAAGAAGTCAAGTATTCTTCCCGTTTTTAAAAGATGAGCATGTAAAAACAATGATATTTTGAAATGTGCAAGTTTTAGATAGTGAGTGAAGTAGAGTCTGTTTAAATGTGGAGTCTGAGAGCGCCTCCTGTAGGCAAATCCCAGTAACACATACAATTTGTTCCTTTTGTGAAAAGAATTTCCACAAACTGGAATAAAAAAAATCTATTTTCTTTAAATGAAAAGTACATTTACAAAGTGAATATCGTTGTTTAGACCAACTATTTGATATCTATTTAATTTATTTATATGCTTGATATTTTAAATGGCATACTTAATTTCAATTCACATGTATTTGCATAGTGCTTTTCACAATACACATCGTTTCAAAGCAGCTTTACAAAAAATGCATTCATGCAAGTTATGTCTTTCAGAAATCACAGTTAGCTAAAAATGTATTAGTTTAACCCCGTAACTGTCACCGTCCCGGTACTAGATTATATCTATAAAATCCTAATCTAATTATGACAAATTAAATATCGCTGGAAAGGTCTAAGACTTCTAAATAGATATTCTACCCCTGTTTTGTGTTACAAATTATGTAGGAAGAGAAATTGATGAATTTATGACAAGTTTTTGCTGTTTTTATGCTAAAAGTTCATAATAAAACATATAATCTAGTATTTTTTCAATAAAAAATATAGAATCATATTATCCTCTAAAAATGATAATATATATATATATATATTTATTCTCAAAAATATAATATTATTTTTTATTGCCTTTTTTATTATATCACATATTTTAGTAGTTATCATAAATTAGGCATCATTTCAAAGCTTATAAACTCACAATTCTTCCTGTGAAAACAGTTTTATAATTGAATGTTGCGTTACCATAGAAACGGTACTTATTTTATCAGGCTCCTCCCCTTTTGGGCATCATTATATTTGATCATTTGATATTATTTTCATTTTGTGACAGAAGTGATATACCACTAAATTCAATGGAATTCAGTGGCACCCGGTGGCTATTTTTGGTACTACGCCTAAACAAAATCTCATGGGAACTTCAATTCAAAACTTCAAATTTGGAACAAAACTTGGTTAGAATTATGGTTTTGATTTTATAGTAATTTTAGAGTAAAAAATATGTTGTAAAATACATATTTTATATAAAATGAAAATATAAAGTACAGTATATTTCATTTACTGTAAATTTAAACTTCCATAACATTTCATACTTTCATTTTTTTAACTGTTTTAAACAAGACCAAACTTGGGTTTATATTCCAAAGCATTCTTAAATTACAACCATTTAAGTTTAAATAGTGCATTTTAACCCCCATTCACCGCCATAAAGACAATGCGCTTATTGAGGTAATGAATCCTTGTTTGTTAACAAACGATTAAATTTCCCTTTGGAAATTTGCTGTTTTATGTATATATTCAACATTGAGTAAGATCTGGGGAAAAGTGATTTGATTACAGAACCTTTATCCGTATTTTTAGTCAAAACACCCATCATTTTTCCACTTTGTGGCAGCAAATCTTGAACGATTGTTTCATAAACACTTAAAAGCGCACCATGTCATTTTTTTCCATATAACAAAATTGTACACCCAAATTAGTCACTTTGATAAGTTAAAAAAGTAAGTCTCCAGACATGACCAGCTGAGTTGAACAAAAACAAAGTCCATTACCACTGTTATACTGGTTGTTTTGGAAGAAATTCATGATTTGTTATTCATATTTACAATTAATTGTATTTGTACTATATTATGATTTTCTATATGGATTTTTTTTTTTTTTTTTAAATGTATGTTTTATTTGTTTTCATGTCTACCTCTGTGTTGTTTTGCTTTGTCTTGGCCAGGTCGCAGTTGTAATTCTCAACTGATTTTACCTGGTTAAACAAAGGTTAAATAAATAAATAAAATAAAATGATGGGTGTTTGATGGGTGTCTATGTTTGGTGCATTTCTTATTTCCCTCTCAGTACTATTATTACTTTAGTGATCGTGAAGCACTTTGGGCAACAGCTGTTTTGCTGCATAAACAAGAAATATCTTCAATCAAACATGATAAAGGCAAATTCTGCAATCTGCATGCAGACAGTATATTTGGAGTACGAGAGCGCCTCCTGTAGGAAAACCCCAAACAATGCAGCATGTAGTACTGTATCCCATAAAGCAACATGCTCTTTCCATTACTAGTGTGAGCCAGCCGGATATCTCCACTTTAAGCGTCACTCCTGAAGAGTTCACTCACCTGTGCGGTTGCCAGCGTAATGAGTGTGTCTTTCTTGGATCTGGGCTGGATGCAGATGTGGAGATGTCGGGGTGGGGGGTTGTGGATGCAGGCGTCGCCGTGGTAACCGTTGCCGTGGTGGCGCCGTACGAGTGTTCGACGGGACCCTGCTGTGCCTCAGACCAGGTGCCGGGGGTCGGGTTGACGTCAGCATGTTCACAGCGATGGCCGTGGAAGCCTGGACGACACTGACAGACGTTCGCCCGGCGACAGACTGCTTTATTATGGCAGCGCGGATGACATCTGGCTACAGCGAGAACAACAGGGACACTATTTCTCAATTCTGTTGATGGCTTTCCACTACTTTTTCACAGTTTTAGTTTTAATTATTATGTAAAGCACTTTGAATTATCATTGTGTATTAAATGTGCTATATAAATGTGCTTGCCTTGCCTACTTTGCATAGCATTATTTTCCTAAAAACATTTTTGGGGATCTGATTTTTTTGGGCACAGCACATATCCAGTTGAGCATTGGAATGGCATGACACTTTCATAACCATGACATGAGTCACATGACACATGTCATGAATATCAAATAGGGTTTATGCATGTTCATGACAACTGTCATTAAGTGTGTTGTCATTAAATGCAAATATGACATTGTTTAAGATGTCTTTGTTATGACATCTTGACATAAACCAATACATCATAACCTGTCAGTGTCTTTGTTATGACACCTTGACATTAAAATTAAGTTAAACGGTCATGTGGTTGGCTTTGACATTGGCTGTCATGAGGCATTATAACTGTGTCATGAATTTTTTTGTGACCTCAACTACAGTGGTACACATTGAATTTGTCATTAAAAAGTTATAAAAGTCAAAACCAACCATCTGACAGTTTAAAGTAATGTTAACCAATAAAGCTAGCTGGTTTCTTAAGTTTGATCATTAATCTGCTATATCATGTTTATGACAGGTTGTGTTGTCTTAATCATGTCAAGTTGTCATGACAAAGACACTGACAGGTTATGATGTATTGGTTTATGTCAAGGTGTCATAATCATAATCATATATGCATTAAAAATGTCATAACTGAGCGAAAGACACACAAACATGCATAAAAGTTCCTTCATATTCATAACATATGTCATGATTATGAAGGTGTCATGTCAGTCTTATGCAGTATTTTGAGTCGCACTGGCCCTTTAAGGGCACATGAGTCAAGGGGTGAGTTATTAGCGGGTAAATCTAGGATTAGGAAGGTGTGGATTATAATGTAAAGCTGAGGGACTGGATTAATTGTGCGTCTGAGCTCAACATGGCATTCAAAGGTTTGGCCTACTTACAGGAAAGGATTGTATTAATGTCCAGGCATCCAAATAAACAGACATAAAGTACATTTTTACTGCTGTATGAACGTAAAAATCTTTAAACCACATGAGCCTAATAAAATCAATCAATAAAACATAGAAAGACGCAAACAGTTTCTCAAATAACTTCTACACACTGGAACGATGAACGGCGAGTGCAAACTAATTAAGAACAGATTTTAATCTCCAACCTGAATTTATGAGCATTCATTGAAAACTGAATATGGACTCAATTAAGAAATGCCTGTCAAATGGCATGAAGAAAATGAGGAGTTGAATAAAGTCAGTATTTTTGTTAGTTTTTTTGAGCACAAAAGCATTCTCGTCGCTTGATAAACTTAAGGTTGAGTCACTGTAGGCACTCGGACTATTTTAACGATGTCTTTAATAACTTTGTTTTGGGCCGGCAAGTTTCAATCCCTCAAAAAGCCTATGGAGGAGTGATCCAGCTCTCAGATTTAATCAAATATTTCTTAATTTGTGATCTGAAGATGAATGAAAGTCTGGCAGGGTTGAAACAACATGAGGGAGAGTCATTACTGACAGAACTTTAGTTTTTTGGGGTGAACTATCCCTTTAAGTTATTTTAGGCAGAATGTTACACAAACGAATTGCGGGTTTTTATCGACTGCTAATAATAGCTTTGTTCTGTGACTTCATTCGCTCAGTGATTCTCCACCGCGGGTCCCAGCAGACTCCCAACGGGGACACAGGATGACGCCATTATTTTCATTAAAGTTTAATTATATTTCTTTTAAAATTGTACCTCACACACATCAAAACACACATACATACTAAAAAATTATATTACATACTAATTATAATTATAAACACATATGTATATTAATTTTTAGATTTTTTTCTAAATATATATATATTAGAAATATATTATTATATTAGTAATTTTATATTATTAATATAAAATATATTAATATTTAATATATATATAGTTATATTATAACTGACAAATTTGTTAAGCCAGTTTCTGGTAATTTAAATTAATTATTTAAACATTCAAGTTGATTGTGTTATATATATATATATATATATATATATATATATATATATATATATAGTTGATTGTATAATATATATATATATATATATATATATATATATATTATAATTTATTTATTTATTTATTTATATTAATAATAATCATAAAAATAAATACAATAATTTTTTCCATAAAAATAAGTTTTTATAAGTTTATTATAATATTCCTTATAATTAAATACATATAGTTATATTGTATACATAGTTATAAATATATATAGTTATATAAATTTTTCTTAAGCCAGTTTATGGTAATTTAAATTACCTTATTTATTATTTAAACATCCAAGTTGATTGTTATATATATATATATATATATATATATAACAACAACTATATATATTTAATTATAAGTTATATTATAATATAATTATAAAAACTTATTTTTATGAGTTAAAGGAATGTAAAATATATATATATATTGTCATAGCTTATTGTATTTCTTTACAGTGTACATTTTAAAAATGAATATATTAATACATTCCGACTTTATTAAAATCATAAAAAAAATATTTTAAAGAACAATTTTTCAAACTTCTGTAATCATAAAAAAATTGTGGTTAAATAACTTATTGATATATTACATTTTAATCTATTTAGTATTACAGTTCATTTATCACATACTAAAGATATAGTCTGTTAATATTTTATATCCGGCCTATGAATATTGCATTGGGTTGCATATTGCATTTAACTTGTTTCCTCAGTTCATGAAGTTGTTGGAGTCGCATCTGTGCCGACACTTTAGTTCACGGCCAAATGAAGAGGGTTTGAGCCAGATGCAAAACTGTCTCTTTCTATGAACATAATAGAAATGTATAAAAGCCTCTGACTGGCCCTGAAAAGATACTCACGTTTTGTGCACTGCTTGGTCTTGGGGTTGACCAGCCATGAATGACAGCACCTGGAGCCGCAAACGTTGGGCCTGGGGACGGACGCACAGAGATCAAGCGTGTCAGAGACTCTAAGAGTGACCACAACAACAATAAAAATGCCACAATGCACAAGTCTGCTTGTCTTTAAAATAGATACTTTTATAAAATACTTTTGGCTCCATGCCCAATCAATCTGTCCGGCATAATCGCATTTGGACCACTTGTGAAAGCACGGTTTTAAAAGACTTGCACTCCGTGGCCCTGGGCCCCTTAAGATGCATTGAGTGAATAGCCTTGGGTTTAAGCTGACCCTTCACCCCGTGTTGTATTCAGCTTGGACAAATAGCGGCGATGAATAAAAATGAAGGGGGGGAGCGAGTTTGTTATAGACGCCCCCCTCGTCGGGCCTCCGTCCTCCCGGTGCCCGTGCACATGAGAAATATTGTGTTTCCCACAGTGGCGTCTGGATTAGGAGTCTTCTTCAGGCTCCTGGGCCGCATCTGTTTACATTGCAGCGTTCGGGAGAAAAGGCAATTAGCACACTAACACAAGCCCGTCCCGAACGCTTGCTTTAAACGCGCAGAAACACGAGCCTTCGGTAGCGTCGGCTGGGATTTGCTAATTAGTTACAGTGTGTGCCTTTATTGTGTGGCGTCTGAAGGGACACTGTTGGAACTCGGGATGATGTGCAGCGTAAGCCGATTGAGACAGAGCTGCCGTGGGCCGTCCGGGATACGCGGGATGACCTTTGACCTTCCGAGAGGGATCAAAGCTAACGCAGCACATCACACAGACTCTGAGATTGAACTAAAATCTCAACAATATGTGAGATTTGAACTGTTTTTTTAACTGCTTGTGAATGGGATAGCAAAATTAATACGTGAAACAATACCAAATGGATTAAAATTGAAAATCATTATCCTTGTAAGGTGTGTTTGTAGGGTTATACTGTAGCTACATGTGTATATTCCTTCTGTTGACACAATTAACATCTTGTAAGAGCTTCTGTTAATAAAAAAAAAAAACTTGTGATGATATCGACAATCAGGCAGTTGAGTGTAGTGTATACTAGTGTATACCGCTTTAACCCTCAGGTGCTCTTCGTTTCGGAGTCACACTTGTTATCTTCCCGGTCAAAAGTGACCGGACACCTAAAAATGAAACTTTCTCCATCCCAGTAAAACCAATGCAATTTATTTTTGTTCTATAATATTTATTCTTTTTAATTTAGTATTTTGAGACAATTTAATTTAATTTATTAATATTTATGCAATATTTATGGCTTATTTTTGCCATGGAAATATATATATATATATATATATTTTTTTTCTATATATATGTATATATATATATATATATATATTTTTTTTTTTTTTAATATTAATGCAATATTTTAGTTTAATATAAAGTCTAGGCCTTCAGAAAAAAAATATTTTTTGAAGAAAATTAGCACCATCTGGTCACAGTATAGAGAAAAAGCGTAGAACTGTGGTGTAACCACTAGATGGCATGTACAGCTCTCTATGGAGAATAGGGATGTCCCGATACCACTTTTTCACTTCCGATACCGATACCGATGCCGCACCTTTGGCTTTTGCCGATACCGATATTAGTCCGATATTTTTTTTTTCGTGGTCCGACGTGCCGTATACGGCCCACAGGGTGGTTTATAGGTTTAACTTTGTGAAAGACAAAACAAAACAAACACAAAAGTAAACATAATACATATCTTTGGAAAGCTGAGAAACTCGTGATTCGAACGACGTAAACCATTTTAAGATACAATCAACACAGCGGGCACAATCTGTCTCTTTGTCAGACCACCAACAGCCAAAACAAACCAACACAAACTGGAAGAAACTCACCAATTAGCCATCTGTTAGTCCACATTCCAACAAAAATGGTTTGGTTTCACTGTAAAGCGTCCATACAATCCAATTTGAAGAAGTTTTTAGTCCAAAACAATTGTATATATGAATAAACATCCATGGAATGTAAATAGTAGCATTTCGCGTTAGCCGACAGCGCTATCACAACTTCGACGCACTAATGCTACGTTCACACCGGACGCGAATAGGGCGTCAGGCGCGAATGATTTCAATGTTAAGTCAATGCAAGAAAAATTCCTGCGGCGCGAATGAGGCGTGGAGCGCGGCGCGGAAGACGCGAATACGCCTCATTCGCGCGTCAAGTTGGCTGAACTTTGGCGTGAATTCGCGCCGCGTTAACCAATCAGGAGCCTAGCTGCTTGCTCACGTGGTGAAGTGTCTGGATGCTTCAATAAATTATTTTGTTAATATGACTAAATGCATGGTGGGATTATGCACAACAAAGCAAATGTTTCATCACTTAAAACATTATTTCTATATGGAGACATGTTCATTTTGTATTGAATGTTATTCATTCCATATCTAGAAATAGTATTATGTTGTAAAGACAATCAACATATGTGCATAAATTCGTGTCTGGACGTGAGAGAAAGAAAAAAAATCACAGGACAGGTTAATAACTTTTGAAGGCTGGCTCTATTTATTATCAAAACAAAAATAAATGACAGCTAGATTAGATGGATGAGGGGCCGGGCGAGGGTGATCCTCGCTCAGATGCGGGACAACAGGTCATCAAACTGGGCGCGTGACAGGCGGAAGTACCGCTGACAGCGGCCGTCATCCAGCGCAGCTCCTGGAGCGAGCAAATGGTGAAACTCGCCAAACGGTTCGGCTCCGAAGGTCCGGTGGACACAAATATACGGCGACGATGATCCCCACGCCGCTGTTCTGCTATCCAGAGTAAATACAGAGCGGTAACTCTCTTGATGAATGCTCGGTCGACATAAAAACAATGACCGCCAACGGATTTTGATTCTGACGCGCGTCACGCGCGTAAATTTCGCTTCAAACTTTACGCGCGCCAGTTTCGCTCTTGACACGCAAAGCGAGAGTGATTCTCTGCGCGCGTGTGCGTAAACACAACAATCATCACGTGACAGGCTGCGCCGCTAAACTGGATATCGCTCATATTTTTTTCTCCCCTCCGATCTCCGATCTAGCGTTCTGGGCCGGTATCGGCGCGATACCGATGCCGTGGATCGGATCGGGACATCCCTAATGGAGAAGCATGTGAATTCCCCAGCTGTTTATGAACACATTTTTTTTGTTGTTGTTGTTGGTGAAAACATAAGAAAAACTAATAAGTTTTATTATTACAAAATTTGACAAAAAACAAAAATTCACATTTTTTTTGCATTTTTTTTGTTTTTACAATTTCCCATTCATTTCTTATGGGGGTCATTTTTGACCAAAGACCACAAGTGTGACTATTTTTTTAAGACCACTTAGCATGCTCAGATCATGACCTCAATTTTTGTGTGTGTTCACATACATAATGCCATAAAAGTCACCAAGTTTCGTAACATTCCGATGAAGCTGTGATTTTTAAAAATTCAAAATAGAACATTTTTCGGTCAGAAATGACCGAAGAGCATCTGAGGGTTAATAATGCTTTACGTTTCATGTAGCATTGTCATTTTCCTGTTCCCAAAGAAAGAAAATAATTGGTATTCTTTCTGAAAAAAAAAAAAAAATACAAAATGGATTTTTTTAAAAATGTCTTCATCTGTAAAGGGATAGTTGAAGCAAAATTGAAAATTAGCCTGATGTCAATTAAAAACTCTTCTTCCCTGGATCATACAAGGTGGGTTTTAACGAATTCTTCTGATTTTTGGTTTGTTTGCTTTTGCATGCATTTACATTGAAAGGGATCTGAAGCTTTCAAGCATCAAAAATAATGCAAAAGTACCAAAAATAATAGGTATCATTAAATATGACTTTAGCATTGTACTGTGTCGAACTGTTTCAAATTTTAAGTTGTTTTTCAAATCCAAACTTCAGCGTAATATAAGCAATGACATCCAAATCATTTTTCAATGAATCAATTTTTCATGAGTTGAATGAACCATGTGAAACTTTTATTTCGCTTGCGTGAGTTTTTGAAAGCTCATTCTAGCGTATGAAAGCGTAAATAGTACAGTCTTTGTAAAAGAGACAGCTATATTGGTTTGGAGCAACATGACGTGAGTAAATGATGACATTGTTTTGACTTTTAGCTGAACTGTCCTTTTAAACTGAAGCTGTTCTGAGATGTCTCATAACACTGAGAGCTTTTACCATCCGTCTGTCTGTCTGATCTCTAAATAAAGGCCTCGGCCCTTCATTTGGGCCCCTATTAGACCCAAATAGGGAAGTCTCTGCACTGACAGAATGGAAAGTTGCCATCGACTTCTGTACCCAGTTTGGGTTTAAATGTGGAGTCGACACCTAAACGAGACATTCCCAATGAAACGTGAGAGATGTTTACAGAGCGGAGAGGATCCCAGAACAGCAAGACCTGATAGTGATCAAAGATGTCTGTGTTTATTCCACTCACATGACTACTTTTCCATATATTTAAAAAAAAAAACAATAAGATTTGGACATGTTCACCAAAAAAAGTCATTATTTACTCGTGTGTGTTGTTCCAAAGCTGCTCTTGTGCACACAGTGAATGTGGATCGATCAGAACTAGAAATCCACATTGATCAACATTCACTTTCATTGTATGGAAAAGAGCAGCTTGGACATTCTGCTAAATATCTATTTTTTGTGTTCGCAGTAGAAAGCCTTTATATATAATGCAACTATATTAATAATGGATTGTAATGCACCTTATGCCGTACATTAATTACAACCATATTATAAGTACAGGTGTATAATGCAAATGCATAACAAACAGATCTGCTAATATCATAATGCATTTAAATTTTATGTACAAAAAGATATAATGCATTATTATAATATACATTATGAATATCTTTATAATGCATTATATTTGATGGGAAGGTGAAAACCTAAAATCAGCTAACAATAAAGGAGGATTAGGCTGGCTTTTGGATACTATGTAAAAATTAAAACATTGTTTTCTGAGAGCAGGACGCAAAGAAAGGCAATGAGCAAAACTTTACATCTTCCAAACCTCTGCACCTCCACTACTGGGAGCATGGGTCGTAAAATAAAGATTACAAATGAACCCTTTCTTTATATTTCAAAAATGTTATTTACTTTTGTGCACTATAAAAAAAAAAACAGAAAAGGTTTATGGTTTTCTTCTTGGCCTCGGCTCTTTTTTCCAGCACCTCGTAACAGAGAGCCATGGAGAAGCTTCAATAAAAGCTCAACAGCGGTCCTCAAGGTCAAACGTGTGGGTTAACTGCAGGATCGTCACAAAGCTCCCACTTTGCTTGGCACCTCCATCAAAAAAGGAGGAAATAATCATGTTTTTGTCTCGCTTAGGTGTGAAAGGCTCTGTTGATGCGCTCTGAAATGAAGCCATTTGCTGCGCTTGGCCTTCATGAGCGCTGAACTGTTGAACCTGCATTCGGCCTGTTAGCGTTACTAAACTCCACAACATCACCCTCCTTCTCCAGCAAGCACTTTTGCATTTAAAGGGGGGATGAACTGAGAAATCTAATTTTCCTTGAGCTTCTGACAACTAAAATATACTGTAAGTTTCAGAACTGAAAATGTCCTTGTTAGTCCAATACGCCTTATTCACGGCAGCGCCATCTTTGATTTTTAATGAGAATGAAAACGAGGCTGTGAGGGATAGACTTGCATCTCTTCAATGGGCTGTACTGTTATTTAATGTGTTTTCGGATTGTTCTGCTCATGAAACACTGGAAAAATATCTTTCAAAGAAATGTCAAAACTCCTGACAATGTAAGCTGTGGAAAATTGTGAGTAATCTAGCCTCTTTATTCAGCTTTTTACAGCGGATGCCATTGGAAACACGGCAAGTCTATCCCTCACAGCCTCACTTTCATACCTGTCATGGCGCTGCTCTGAATAAGGTCTATAAAAGCTTTTATTGACACCAGGCTCAGCAAACGGCTCGTATTTCAAAGTGGGGAACTATGACGTCAAAGAGGATAAAACCCCACCTCCGCAGAAGAAGATCAACGCCTACTTTAGCCCCGCCCACCGATTTGCACATTACACGTAGGGCTAAATAACATAGATGCCTACCTCGTGATGACAAACCGGATCGAGCTACCGAGCGATACAGAATATTGTGGAAGAAGACAGTCGCTGCGTAAGCTTCCTCTGGATTCCTATAGGACTGCATGGATAAACTTTATTTTTAATGACGTTCCAGATGATGAGGTAAAACATCGTCCGTCTGTTCGCTTCATTTCACTGAGGATTGTTTTGTAAACAAGACTGGATTTGCAGACCGATTAAGAGTAAAGTGCCGTCTATATTGGATCTGACAGGAATGGCGAATCATTTTACAACATTGGACGTTTTCAAAACAATTTCCCCCAAGTGCATCGACGGGTGAGTCGAAACTCATTATAATATGCAAAACTGTTATCCACTCACAGCAGTGGGCGTTTACTTCCAAGTCTTCAGTGCGAGACGCCCATAAAAACAGCGTTTTTCAGCTAGCCTCAAAACTAGGGTACAAAATAGCTTATTAGTTATTCATTTTGATGTTTTTGAATGCAAAAACCAAGCGAACGGCATAAGTTGACCTTTAGACAACATTATAATAAAATTTAAAAAGCCAGTTCATGACCCCTTTTAAAAGACGTCTAATTGCCGTCTGAACACAGCGCTGACGTCTACAGGGTAAAACAAGGCCATAACCATAGAATGGACGCACAGGCTACACATAGAACAAGTCAAAGAACTGAAACTAAACACTGTTGACTTTGCTTACGTGTTGGAATATCCAATGCATTCTCATTCTAGGGCGTCATATAGGTGACGCTTTTGACATTTCGTCTAAATCCAGCGCACATGGCACCCTTTAGCGTCAATATAACACACTTCGGTTATGGGTAGGTTTAGGTCTGGTGTAGTGTTAGGGTTAGACCACTAGGAGGCGCCTTCTGGCCCATATATATCTGCGTCTCATATTGACGCTAAAGGGTGCCATGTGCGTTGGATGTATACGCATGGTCTAAAAGTGTCACTATATGACGCCTTGGGATGATAACAGGCTCGAATATCTAACACAGTCTCATCCCAAGAAGTCATATAACTGACGTCTTGGGACGTCTTTTGACCATACGTCAACATCCGCCTTTTTAGGGTACCCTTAAACGTCGGTTAGATGACGTTATCGGATCCTAACCCTACCCCAGACCTAAACCTACCCCGTCACCTAACCGACGTTAAAGGTAAAGCGTTAGTTGTATGACGGCCCGGGATCGTCATGTAACCGACGTTTAAGGGTACCCTAAAAAGGCGGATGTTGACGTATGGTCAAAAGACGTCCCAAGACGTCAGTTATATGACGTCTTTTATATAACTCACAATATGGCAAGAACAACATGTAACCCAGTTCACGGTTGTTTTGGGTTACTCAAAGCCAGACTCTCGCACTAGAGGAACCTTTATAGTTCATAGAACTATTGGCGGAAGATCCTGGATTTTGGCGTGTTCGCATAATAGGAACGATTTTAGTTCTAGGGAATCCTCTTCGGAGGAACTAATTTAGCGAGTCTGTAAACCAGAACTGTAGGAACGGTCAGACGTTAGTGTTCGCGGATTGGCCGAACGCCATTTTTTTCATACCTTTTAATTTCTGTCTACTTTCTATGTCTAATAACGAATTAGATTAGACAGATCATAAACGAATGAACACGGAGAATGCTCAGGCGCCGTCAAAATAAAAGTCACAACAGCAAGTGCGGCTTACGGAGCTCCTACAGAGCCGGGGCGAATGCAATGTGGAAAATGTTCCATTAGTGGGAACCATTAGTTATTTTCAGGGAACCACCCTAGTGGATACTACACGAACTACACGATGAGAAAGCCCCCTATAGTTAACCGAGACGATGAAATGGCGGCTATTGCTTGCTTGCTAGGGTCTGTGAAAGAAACGCTACCATATTCCCCCAGCCGCCAAACCCCATTGCCCCGGGATGGACATGTTTCCACAGTCAATGTCCTCGGTTGATCTGAAAGCACGATGGAGTCCAGAGGAGCTGGGATTGTTACAGAAGAGCAGTGGTGCATCCTTGGTGAACTCTTACAAAGGTTCACTGGCATTTTGGCTCCCTCGAAATGAATATGAATAGAAGGGTAAGTAATTTCCTGCTCTGTTATGGCTTACAAAGACCAGTCACTAAGTCTCCAACTTTTCAGGATAATCAGGAATTCCTCTCATTGCTTGAAGGATCAACACTTCCGGAGTGAGTCTCGAGAAACATCTGACTGAATATGTTACAACTGTGAACAAAAGACAGGCCAATGTTTTCATGTCATTCTGCTTCTATAAAGAGCTCTGGTTGAAGTAAAGTGCTCTGTTATGCCTGTAAACTGGACATGGAGAAGCAATGAAGAGAAAACTGCAAGTTCAAGACAACATGTTACTCCTTAAAAAAACAACAAAACAATAGTATAACAGAAGAACATACTGACTGATTGCTAATTGAATTCCAAGTGCATTATAATTTCATTATCTTTTACCAGGTCAAAACATGTCAACCTGATTTGCAACAGATCCTAAAGGATCCTAATGGGATAAAAACAGTTTCTGAAAAATAGGAATTTAGCTCCATAATTGAAATTGTACTTTTTGGTTCACAAAGATTCTGTCTATGAACAGCTCTTAAAAATAAAAATCGTACTATAAAGAGAACATTTTAATAACCTTTTTTTTCCACTATAAAGAACCTCTTTGTGAAATTAAAATGTTCTATGGATGTTAAAGGTACTTAAAGGGATAGTTCAACCAAAAAACAAAAAAACAATTATTCCATTATTTACTCATTCAAGATTTATAATGGGAGTGAATTGAAGCCCAAAAAAGTGCATTTATCCATTATAAAAGTAATCAATATGACTCCAACGGGTCTGAAGTGAAGCCATGCGTTTATATTTATAACTTTATAAACTATAATCACTGGTTTCCAGTAATGGCCGTACGAGAGTCCAGTTCCGGTGTGTTCAAAAGTGACCTCTGACCCGACGCTTGACGTATTGATGAACGCAGAAGCGAATTAGAAGTCTAAAACCAGACTAAAAAAAAGAGAAATGTGGATGAGCTTGAGTTTGTTACCCAGCGGTTTAACGTCTCATCCGAAGGACGGTCACTCTTCTGACTCGCGTACGGCTGTTACCCGAAGCCAGTGTTTCCATAAAGTTATAAATATGGATATATTTCTTGCAAAACTGCATCGCTTCACGTCAGAAGGCCTTTAGTAACTTTATAAATGGATCACTTTTATGATGGATGGATGCACTTTTTTGGAGCTTCAAAAACCCAGGCTCTATTCACTCCCATCACAAAGCTTATTGGACGAGCAGGATATTTTTTTAATATAACTTTGTATTTGACTGAAAAAAGACATACAGTACTAGGATGGCTAACTATACCTTTAAGAGAACCACAGATGCCAATAAAGAGCCTGAATTTACATTTAAATGCAACAATATATATATATACACACACACGCTAATTTTGTTTCCACCTGTTGTTTAATGTCAAATATTCACATGCATTCAATCATTCAACTACAATTATACCACAAACATGTCATTGTCATCGTAAAGACTTTTGAGCTGACTTCAAGACACTTACCCTTTTAAATCTATCTGTATTCTCGTTGAGTTGCTGTGATGTCGCTGTCTCTGCGGTTTGCTCCTGCTTTGTAGAGGATGGATGAGATCATGAGACATCAGAGGAGACCCGGTGATCTGATGACTGACTGAGGAGGAGTTTGCGATCGCCAGGGAAAGAAATGACATGCAAAATGACAGTCTCCATAGTTCTGACATCGTTATTCCGAGCTAGTGAGTTGCAGCTAATTCGTTTTTCTCCGAAAGCAAGTAAATGACTTCAGCACAGCGCTCCGTCAACGCTGATGGCCCTCATTCATTGTGAAGCTGAACTGACTCTCTCCATCCAGACGCGCTGCTGACCGCGCGCACACTGACTCACATCAATGAAAGAGATGCGTGAAAAACTTTGGGCCAATCAGAGTGAAGTCTGTCGTGCAGCCAGGAGACACAGCCAATCAGAGCTCAGACTGGTGGAGCAGTGTGTGCGGAGTGTGGCAGATAGATAAACATTAACAAACCATGCGTAAAACAAACACAGAGGCAAAAATAAAACATGCTAACTGGCGTTTTAGCGGGGATTTAAGATACTAGAACACGCTTTTAATCATTTTTGTGCATATATTAAAAAACAATATTTACAAAAAATACGACCAAACTGCTTAAAATGTAAAATAAATGCCTTTATATGGGTGTCAACAACAATACGCTACATCACGCAATTCAAGTTTGTGCTGTTTTCCCTCCAAAATGATGTCACTTCCTGGAAAATAATGTCGTTTTAGAAAAAAAAAAAAAGTTAAGGTCTTTAACATGAAAATTTAAAGTTGAGAAAATAAATTAAAAAGGAAACAACTGTAATATTTTCCGGATTTCATTTTAGAAGCTAGATGTAAATACTATATATATGGTAAAATTCACTTTGTTGAATTAAAATACACACCTATGTTTGGATAAAATGAACCTATAGCTGATATGGTATCTATCCAAGAATATTTCTGTTTACTTTGTCAGTCACAGCTGCATCCAAACACTTTAATAAAAAAGGCAAATAAAACACAGAGCACTGTCATGGGAAATATAGCCTACTCCCGGGACGATCATCACCAAAGCAAACTCACAGTCCAGGGCAGTATAGGGACGTCCAGATGTCTGAATAGTGTGTGAGGCACTTCTCTTCACACACGGGTGTAAATACACCAACACCAGCACTAGAAGACTGAGGATGAGCAGAGACCCCTATAATGCAGGATCTTCTCTCGGTGACCTCATGAACAGAGCAAAGCTTCCCGTGTTCATGTGAAACATGCGTCAGGTTCCCAACAGGGTTTATATGCTTTTTATTTATTGAAGTGATGCCACAGATGCCAGAGTAGCTACCTTTCAGTCAACAGTTCTTAAATAACCTTTTGAATTCACTGCTCTGAAAACTCCAATAATGTATTTTATTTCCTCATTGTGTCATTTAAAATAATAGTTTGATATTATCTTGAATTAGTGGAGTGAAGGTGTGTCAATTTATTACATTTGTTCAAATTAATACATGAATTATTTAATTTATCATTAATAATATTTAAGCTTGCAAACTTTTTGATTTTTGTGTTTAGTGTATAAATGTTGGGGATAAATATTCCAGCACTTACATTTACTAGAAGAGACCATTGTAATGTGTGCTTCATATTCACTAGATGGCACTAACAAGCAAAGGAAAGAAAGAAAGAAAGAAAGAAAGAAAGAAAGAAAGAAAGAAAGAAAGAAAGAAAGAAAGAAAGAAAGAAAGAAAGAAAGAAAGAAAGAAAGAAAGAAAGAAAGAAAGAAAGAAAGAAACTGAATAAATAAATGGAATAAACTTTGAAAAATATATTTTTATTTTTACATTTTTTAAATATTTAATAAATATTTTTCAGTATTTTATACAATTACTTCTGTTATCTATAAGTATTATGGTAAACTAAATATTATTTCTATTGAAACGTGTAATGTTATTACATATTTGTAATGATAAAGTTGCACGTCATTAGCATGAAACAGTACATTTACAGCAGATTTTGAATTGTAATATCAAAAACACACTGCAGTTAAAATAATAATCCAGTGCTACGTGTGCTTTGGTATGTTGGTCAACACATCAACATAAGTGTTTCTTTAAAGCACGACAAAAGAAGATTAAAACATGATTTAAAATGTACTTTAAAACTTTTAATTTTACATTATTACATATCACTATAAAAAATGCTGGGTTGTTTCAACCCAAATTTGGGTCAAATTTGGACAAATGTAAATGCAATTAAAACATTTACAGTTGAAGATTTGAAAATTTCATTTTTAACCCAACATTTGAGTTTGTCAAAGTTTAACCCAAATTTGGGTCAAATATGGACAAACCCAAATGTTGGGTTAAAAATGTAATGATAAAATTTACAGTTGAAAGTGAAAGTTGAAGATTTGAAATTACATTTTTAACCCAACATTTGGGTTTGTCCATGTTTAACCCAAATGTGGGTTAAAACAAGCCAGCATTGTTTAGAGTGCAGTGTGCTTTACTATAATAATCGTGAGAGTGTATCTCTTTAAGTGCACACTTTATTTCATGAATATATTATATAAGCAAGTACGGATTTTCTTTAATAAGCCGTTCAGGTTTGAAGTTGCCTGTACAGCACAATGAAGCGTGGTTGATTTCCACGAGGGCCGGTGTTTTCTGGACGAACCCAGACCCCTGTGAACGGCTCCTCGGGCCCTCTGATGAAGCCGACACAGAAATAATTGCACGAGGCTTCAGAGAGCCGTGGAGAAAAGGAGCGTCGAACCGCTCTGAAATGTTATAATGGGCAATTACAGTAGTGTTGGCACTTTGCACTTACCTGGACACGTTTCTAATGAGCACTTGGGAAGTAATTAGAGGTCAGAGGTCAGTGTTGTATAACCCAGGGGTCAGTGGAGGACAGGACGGAGACCATAGGGAGAAATTAAACTCAAATACTGCAACTACAACTTTTTTAATGTATTTTTTTTCCAGAGACACCCACACAAATCTCTCGTTTTTAGGCCTAATAACATCTGGCAAAGACTAGACTAGACTTCAGGCAAATTTGAGTACATTTACATTCATGAATGTTGATTAATGTTCACTGTCCCTTTAAAAAAAGGAAGATTGATAATCCGAAATTGTTAAACATAGGCAGTGCACCACAATGATAAGTTGAAATAAGTGCATTTGTATTATTGGACAAATTATTTTATTATCTGTTTAATTCTATGAATGTACCGATTTCTCTCATCAGTGTCAGTAATAATGAGACTGACTGTGTCAGATGGCAGAGATACGGTATATACTCATTTTGAATGATATATAAATACAAATTTGCCTATGAGACCATGAGAAAAAAAAATCTTCAAGTTTATATGATTAGTTATTTTATACCAGTGTATATCGAGTTATTGAATTATTTGCTCTTCCGATTTGCTCTTCTGAATCGTTGAAGAGCGAAATACAGCAACAGTGTGTTTTGCGTTTGTGTTTTGTGTCTATTTATTTATATAGCGCTTTTTACAATACAGATTGTTTCAAAGCAGCTTTACAGAGATTACAGGAAAATAATGTTGTAATAATATTGTTAAATATAAAATTAAATGTCCCCAACTAAGCAAGCCAAAAGCCAATGGCAAAGAAAGGTGAAGAAGTTACATTTTAGTTACTTATAAGCTTGGACACACACACACACACACACGCACACACACACACAGCGTTGGAAATGTTTTGGGACACTTTTTGTTTGTTTAAATGCTTGTCTTGAACTGATATTGCTATGTGTGTGTGTGTGTGTGTGTGTGTGTGTGTGTTTGTGAAATTGGATTAAACATAATGCTTCTGCATTATACTGTTGAATTACATTACAGCACAATCTCATTAAGGAAATTACAGTTTCAATTTCACGAAGATGTGTGTGTGTGTTGCTTGCTCATAACACTCAGAGATCCAGGAATCGTATTTTCCTTAATGCGCTCTTCACATTTAGCTTCAGGGAACGTCTTGCTTCTGTAATGAAGGAAAAGCTCTTGCAGTTATAGACAGTGAAAGATGCATGTGCTACTGTGTGTGTGCGTGTGTGTGTGTGTGTTGTAACGATGTGTAAATCAGGCTGTCTTAGAGAGTGAATATAATAGAAAGTGACAAATGTACAAAATGCTATATTTAGTGTGACATCAGGGTTATTATTTTATTTAAGATAAATTGAAGACAATATTGGCATTGACATTATATTGAGAGTATATTTTTGCACGGTTCGAGGGAACTTGATATAAAGACATTTTTTATTGTCCTTAAAAATTAACTGCACTGTAAAAAATATTTTCAAGATTTGTTATCACAACATATTTTCTTTTATCAAATCAACTTTATAATAATTTATTTAGTTGAGATATCTTATTATTTTGAGTTTCTGATGGTTGAATTAATCTTCTTCATTGTATTAACTCACTTTTTCCAGTTCAATCAACTTAAAATTTTAAGGCAACCCATGTTACTTACTTTAAGTTAAACTAACAATATTTTTTACAGTGTAGTAATCACAACATATTTTCTTTTGTCAAATCAACTTTATAATAATTTATTTAGTTCAGATAACATATAATTTTGAGTTTTTGATGGTTAAATTAATCTCCTTCATTGTATTAACTCACTTTTTCCAGTTCAATGAACTTAAAATTTTAAGGCAACCAGGTTACTTACTTTTTTAAGTTAAACCATCAATATTTTTTTTTACAGTGATTACACATCACTAATGGCGTTTTTATCATTTTATATAAACATTTTTATGTTTTAATTTGTTCATGAACCAATTATTTTTCTAAAGGATGGATGTTTTTTTTTCTTTTTCTTTTGCAGCAGCAGTTTTAATGATCTATAACTTAATATAAAGAAATTATTTTAGCTCAAATCAATAGTTCATGTCCATGTATTTACGTAAGTGGTAGATAAATATAAGGAAATAAAGACCGATATATGACAAGATCACCCTGTCTGGGTTTATATTTTTGATAATGACGTGTACATCATCCATTACTATATTTACTCACAATAAAAGCATGATTAAAATACGCATTAATAATAGTTTGCTCCTTGTCAAAGTAAAGATCTGATGTTGTGCCAGTGTAAAAGATTGTACATGAGAGAGATTTTTTTTTTACTATAATTTATAATTTAAGTATAATTTGAAAATTTATTTTACTGTTTTTTTTTTTATGTTCATCTGTCTTTAGTGAGTAATGTTAGTATTTACGTATGAAAAAGCTCTAGTTCATCTCTATATCAGAGCCAGTGTTCCT